CCCAGCTGCTGGCGGGACAGGCGGGCTGGAGGGAGGCTGGTTGGTGCAGGGCTGCGAGGAGAGCTGTAGTTCAGGCTGAGCAGCCTCAGATCCCGATTGAGAGTGACGGGAACACGGCTACATGGCCCTTATGGGCCAGGCAAGAGGTTAAGGGCTCATCAGCCATGGTGGGCTCAGGGTACCTGCTCAGGAGAACGGTGTAAGGAGGAAGCTAGCCAAGTTGCAATGGGCAGCGGGGTGGAGGGAGGTCTCCATCACGCACAGGGTGTTCAGAGAACCAGGCTGAGCGCGCCTCTCCATCCTCTACAGCCCCCGCCGAGCCCCCAGCTCCACCGGCCCTCAGCAGGCTCTTCTCCAAAGAGCGGCAAGTCTCTGCTGGACCATCTTTCCAGATGCGTTAAGGCCTGTGCGCTGCATCCCTGCTCCTACCAGCGCCCGAAGGACCCTCCCAGTGCGAACCCCTTCAGTGCTCAAACTCATCCCCGCAGCAAGCGGTGCAGCTTTGGCTCCAACCCGTGTCCCTCCGGGCTGCAAAGAGTGCTGGTGTCAACCAGAGCTGGGGGTCTTCCTCCTGCTCTGCACCCTCTGCCCTGATTTCTGCCACCAGTGCCCCAGGGAAACCCCAAGGGAGCCCCAAGGAAACCCCAAGGATGGTCCCCACCTCGGGTCGCCCCGGGGGAGACCCTGGCAAGGTTGGCAGTGAACTGGCCGTCCATGGAGACAGCACGCTGTCTTTAGAGCTACCAGGGCAGACAACGGGCCAGGTTTGTCCAGGGTGTCCAGGCTGCAGACCAGGGCTGGGAGGTTTCCTCAGCGGTGGTGGAACTGCTCTTTCTGACTCCTAAAAATCCCCCGCCAACGCCCAGAGGACAGGAGAGCTCCACAGCATCGCTCAGTGTGGAGCGGGCGCCTTCCTCCTGCGAGGATGAGAGGAGACAAGCTCCTCCAGGTCCTCGCTGAGGTTTCACCCGGGTGGAGGCCGTGGCGGGTGACTGCGATCAGAGGGATTTTGTGTCTTGTTTTTTCCCCGGGCTGCTGTTCCCCGCTCAACCCCCACGGCCGGGCTGGGCTCTGACTTCACCCCCCAGGTATCCAAAGAGACAATGCCGGTGGTGGCGGCCAGCGCGGCATCCTGTCCCCTCAGCGTCCCCCGGGTCACTTCCCGGGATTGTTCTGTCCTGCTCGGACAGGGGCCGGCTGTCCCCTGGGACGGATGAGCCTCACGTGCCGGTGGTATTTCACGCAGCGGCAGAGCAGGTCTGGGGCACGGGATGATGACAGGGAAAGGTTGTCCCATCTCTCTGGGCTTTCTCCTGCTGCTTTCCCCCCCGGCTTCGTTAGGAGCTGCCCTCCTGCTCTCCCCACCAGCGGCAACATCGGGTGGCGCCGGACCACCCCGGACGGCGCGGCAGCAGCCCCATTTCCATCCCAGCCAAAACCCTTTGGTTGACGTTGCCGAGACCGGGCCCCGGCCGGACAAACTGGAGGGCGAATGGTGAAACACAGCTGATCCGAGCTGGGGCTCCCTGCTGGCTTAGCTGGCATTAACCTCCTAATTAAACTAATTAAGCTAATACCAGGAGGGTGCAGCCCTGCGTCACCGTTCCTCGGCACCAAGCCTGCATTCAAGCAGGGGGCTAAGCCTGCAAATAACCCTCCTCGATGTAATCCCTCCCCGATTTCCTGCACCCACATACTCGCAGTCTGTTCATGCAGTGATCTTTGGACTTGAAATATCTTTTTTTTTGTGGTTTTTTTTTTTAACTTGTAATTCGTTATGGTTCGGTCAGCACGATGCTCAGCTGCGCGCGCCGGTCCTCACTGCGTCCACCGAGTTTTCCTGTCCTGCCTCTCCTACCGCTGTAGGGCACGTTTTGATTTTAAAGCTCAACTCTTTTCCCATTTTGCTGGGATATTTGCTTTTTTTGGGGGTGTGCGCCTTGCTCCCCGTTGGCTGCCGGTACTCAGAAGGCCGATGCTGGGTAGATCTCAGGTGGACGAAGCGGCAGCGTCATCCCTGCAGCCTCGTGTTGTCCAGAGCATCCCCTCCTCCTTCCCGCTCGCCCTCTGCGCGGTCAGCTCGGACCTGGCTCCGGGTCCTTCTGACCCCGGGGTCAGCAGCTCCGTCCCTGCAGGGTGACGGTGTGGGGCTGGACGAGAAGCTGGTTGCTCCTTTGCTGAGGATCACCGCTGGTTTTATCCCCGCGCCGGGAGGGTACGGCGCTGAGCTCTCTCGTGGAAGCAGAACAGGCTGGACCCACCGCCGGGACCTCTCCCGGGGATGCGCTCTCCAAGTTGGGTACCAGATCCAGAGCGGCCCAGAGAGCGGCAAGGATGGGTGCTGGAGCGCCCAGTGCTTTGGACTGGGGTCTGGGGGGATGGGGTGGGTGGGGAGGTGGGGAAACCGCAGCGGCAGGAGAGGGGAAGGGCGGGGGGGTCGTCGCAAAATGATGCC